TGAGGAACCAGTAGATACAAAATCCAAATCCCCCTATAAAAGAGGAGATGCCCTCTGGGCAGCCATAGCTCATAGTTGGCCTGATTTAGTGGCAGCCAGGAATCCGGGCTTGAATAAAGACAGAGAGAGCGAGGGCAGAATGGGAGAGAGAAAGAGAGAGAGAGAGGGAGAAAAAGATAGCTCCCTGTGTGATAAATAGCCCCAGCTCTCTCTATTGCATTAGCCGTCCGGGCCGATAGATTGCGAGCCCAATAGACCCAGACGTATGCGATTGGTTTCTCATATAAAAGTTGCATATTAAATTCCTTCACAGGACTGTGCCCCCCAAGCATGAAGGAGGGAAGGAAGAAATGGGAGTGAAAAAGCAGAAAGTGGAGAAAGGAATGGAAGAGAAAAAGGCTTTTTATGAGGGAAGGCAGAGAGAGTTGGGGAAGCCGCAGAAGAAAAAGAAGGGGGGAAGATAATAGCAGGAGAAAAGTAGCTTGATGGTGGAAAAGACAAATGGTGATGTCATGCATTTAATAGGTCCGTGGATATTGGGCGATGAGTGCGACCGTACGTCCATTTAATCAGTATTGCTTCACAATGAAGATTTCTCTCTGGTTTGAGCTCGCTCCCCCCTTCCCCTGTTCTCAGCCGCTCTCCACATGCTAACGACCTCTCTAATTGTTTCCAAGCTCATTAAGATGCTGATGTTTTAATAGTAATTAATCCGTCATTTGCCTACATGCAAAGACGGGCCACTGAGGTTTGTTCATTGCTGTTTCAATACACTGATAATGCAGTAGCCCAGTCAAAGGAGACAATATCCTGCTAATTTAGCTCATCACTGTTAATTGGTTGTTAAGTGCCTTTAATTACCAGGCAGGCTCTGGGATTTGGGTCGGCAGAAAGAGGGGGATCGCACTCATTGTCCCTGCCGCTTGTAATGGATCTAGTGTGAACTTTGGAAACTGGAATAAATGACCAAAGAGTGAGAAGAGTTGTACATTGACCCTGCCTATTTTCTTGCTCCTTACACTTCCTCTCCCATTTCCTTTCCTCCTTCCCCTTCCTTTCCTCCGTCCTCCTGTCCCGTCCTCCATCTCTGTCTCACTCCCTATCTCTTCCTCCATGATATTATTAACTCATTAAGTTTTTTTCATTATTTTTAATAAAAGATGAGTTATGGCTTTAGCCTCACTGTGGCAGCACCCCCCCCCCTACACACACACACACACCTCCTCCTCCTCCTACACCTCCGTCGTCTTCTCTCTCTTCCACTTTAACCATTTGTTCCCTCCCTCCCCCCTTCTCCTTCCACATTTCCTCCCTCCTTCTTGGCCATATTGTGCCTCCTCTGATACATTTGACCCTTGAACTGCAGTTTTTGACCTCGGTGTTGCTGGTTACAACCTTCTGTCCATCCTCTTTGCGTTTGCCACAGATACTCACATCTATCAATCATCTCTCCTTCTCATAGCACTGAGCAGTCTTTAGATGGCATTCATAAGATTTATGATGCATGATCCTCTCCTGTGTGTGTGTGTTTGAGATAGAGAGAGAGACAGAATAGAGTGAAGAATAAAAAGAGAAAAGATGGAGAGACAAAGGCAGATAGAGAGAGAAGAGGAGAGGGTTTTGTCGATGACACAGTTGAATAATGACAATATCTATGATTGATAGCTCATACTGAGTAGGTCGAGTGTGTGTACTGGGTTTGAGAGTGTGTGTGTGTATGTGAAAGAAGTGGGAGTCTATATGTCTGTTTTTCCCTCACATTAATCTGATGTTAAAGAAGCAATGATGAATGGTTTTCATGTAGTTGGAGCTGTCAATGGTCAACCTGAAGAAGAGCACGGAAAGAGAGGGATAAAGGTAGCAAGTGACCAGAATTGCCAAGGGACGCATGGTGTTTATGTGGGAAAAAAAAGGGACTCCAGGAGATGAAAGCGTAATAAATATCTTTCAGTTAGAGAGGACAGATAAAACCCAGTTATTAACCACTCTGCTTTCAGCCATAAAAAGCCTAACTGAAATATTTACAGCATATGCTTGTCTATTTCTTAACACCATGAGTCATTTCTTGAAGAAAGGCTTTTTAAATACATGTAAATTGAATACTTGGGTTTGTTGCTATAAATACAGTACACATGAATAGTTTTTCACTGTTATTATTCCTCATAAAGGAGTGATCTCTTCTTATATCTATTCACTATAGCTAACACATTTCCAGTCATGCAAGAAGTCCTTGCAGCATTCAGAGGGACCTGAAAAGAATTCCTCAGCAGTCTATGGAGCCAGAGTTAATATCAGTATGTGTCTTTAAATGTTAGTCTTTTTTTGTTTCCATTCATTTTTTCTCTTGCTGGAGGGAATATCTTGCTGCTTGCATGTTTGTAATTTTCCAAACATTGCTCTAAAACTCCAGGCCAAAGTTGTGGTCACATTACCATTTTGTTCAACAAAGTTTCTCCTTATGCAGCCTGAAAAGAATGATTGATTGATTGCATTGCTTTAAGCAGGAACAATATACTGTAGATAACAAAAAGAAGGTTTGGGAGCAACACTACAGTTTTTTTTGCTGGTTGTATGATAATGTAAAGTATGACTGTGTATATACTGTTACCAGCCACTTTATGAGGGATGACTGTTTCACTGCCTTTTGAGGTAAACAATGCAGCAACTCGGTAAATGCAGTACTCTTGACAAAAATGCTTTGTTGGTGGCCAAAGGAGTATTACCAGAGTCACTGAAACAATTAAAATGATAATGATAACTCCAATAAATGCTCGGTAGTAACTAAAATAACCACTCATTACACTGAAGGTGCAGAATGAAGATCTAAACTGAACGATCTGAACGCAAAATTACAGGCACCATGATGAATGTTTAACATGAGTGTCGCCACAACTGCACCTAAGCTGCTTATGACTTACAAAAGAGTTGAATAGACATCAAAGTGTGTAGTTGTTAAAGGAAAACAGTTAGCTGCCTGAAAGATTTTGAGTTAGTGATGGACTTGAGAGTCAGAAAACAGCTCATATGATGACAGAAACTTGCTGCAAGTGAACAAAAACAGGCTGCAGGAAGCAAAAACAACTACTTTGAAAGCAAATGTGATGAAAAATAAATTTAAAAAATTAGAAAACAAATGCAACAAAAAAAAAGCTGCAAAGAAAGTTTTCCCAATGAAAGGCCTGTACTGTATAGGAGCACTTACTTGAACTTGAAAGACATCAATAAGGTATTTTTCTTGTAAGGCTTGGCTTTACTGGGGATCTTCTGCTCGGGCTCCTGGGATGGGAAAATCAACTGCATAGAACTTGGACGTAGTTTCAGGGTTGTCTTACATTGGTGTCTGAATTTGAAGCCCACCAATGGCTCTTGCTGTATTGGGATTCTGTCATGAGGTAACTTTCAGTCAACCTGCCTCAACTACACCTTTAGCAACAGGCAGAAAGGTGCAATGGAGGCAACTCTTTGGCCTCCTTGCAAACGGCTTTAATGTGCTTGAATATCATTCAGAAAATGCACCAAATTATGCATAACTGTTATCCTTAATATAAACAAAACAAATGAGTTATGAAACAAATTCATAGCCATAAAAGGCTCCTGTACAGTGTGAACCAATATTAACATGGGCCATTCAGACCAAATTCATTTTTTGAAACAGGCTGTAAACATCTTTTTTTTTCTGCTGTCAAAATGGGCATTTTAACATGAGTGTTAATCTTATGGGGCTTTTGCAGTCAGCCTAGAGTGGACACACAATGTGAACATTCACATTGGCTTAGTTTTTTCAACACCTGAGGTCACCGCTTGGACGGACACAACCTGATGCTCAACATCACCCTCCATCACCTCACTGCCCTCTCATGTCTTGGTTACTCGTGTCAGTGTCCTTGGCTGTAAATCTTGTTACTACTTGTTGTCAAATGCCGCCATCATTCCTCATTTAATCCATCCATGCTCGGGGCCCTGACAACTCCTTGTTCCCAGGACTCCTAGAGTTGGCAAAGTCAACTGGCAGTACCAATTTCTGCATAGCTAATAGAACTAACTTGCTAACAGCAGCCAAACTTAGCTGTGGCGGTGTCTTTAGCAATGCCATCTGTACTTCAGAAACAAACCTGGAACATATCTTAGAAACTAATTAAGATATGTTCCAGGTTTGACCAAATTCAGAGACATAAAACAGAGGCATATTATATTTAATATGTTATAAAGTTGTGTTTTTTGCACAGATAGGTACCTGGCCCTCTGCAGCAAAATTGTTTGTCCAAAAGCTACTCTTTTGGGGCATATTTGGCCCTGTCAGCCATCTTAGAATTGGGTTATTGATGCACCATCTGTTACTAGTCAGCCAAGTTAAAATCACATAATTCCACCACAAGTGATTCTTAATAAAAGACAAGAATTCATTATTAATCTGCTGTCTGCTGCAACTCCTTACACCTCACGGGCTTGGTATTTGGTTTTCTTTGTGTTTTAAGAAGCTCCGCTGTCAATGAATGTTTGCATCAATCATTTATTCTACCTTACTTTATGTCTCTGCGTAATCCCTGTTGTCACACACATCATTGGAAAGCTCATAGAAAGAATAGCCTTTTATGGCTATGATTTCCAACCAATAGTAAAGCACTTGACATGCGTGTCTCAAACTGTGTATTTTGTTCCTTGTGTTTTACAGTGCAGTGTGGACCTGATTGTCCTAGAAGTTATACCGAATAAGTGTTTCCTGTGGTTGATTGGTTTGTTTCCAGCCGCTCTCTGACATGCAGATGGATGTGCGCTGTGTTATTTACACTTTTGTGTCAGTCCTCAAGGAAATAGCTTGAAGTATGGGAAAGGTTAGGTGTTAATGTGGCAGTAGTTTGAGGCAATGTTTGCTGACAGCTGTGATGAATTGTTTCCATTGTTCTTGTATTCCTTACCATTCAAACACTATTTCCCTGCCACATGATAATCCCTATCCGTATATAACTACAGCCGATCTGTATTCACTCTTGAAACTGCAGTATATATTACATTCTTTATTAAAGCAGCTCTTTATTGGTACAGTGTTATCATAATTTTTCTGTTGTGGAGGAACAGTACACGGCATTTTCTCTGTTTAATTTACAGTGTGATACGATACATACATTTGTCAGGTTTATGGCACTGAATGAGCAATGTAAAAGACACAATCTGGAGACAGAAGCATTTTTTTGAAATGGCCATATATTATTAGTTTGCATGCGTTACATTCAAATGTCAAACATTTCAAGTTGTTCTACATAAAGTGATCAGTGCATTAAGTCTTTATATTAATATTGTCCTTGAATTCTCTTATTTTGTGAAAATTCAGATTACTACTAACTTTGCCCAGGTAGAGGTTTGAATACATCCTGTTTTCCCAGGAGTCCACTTCTGAGTCATCATAAAAAATGTAGTTCATGAAATGGATGACAGGCAAGTTTATCGTATGGTTTCATTTAGTCCTTCAGAGCATCTACAGCAAGTTCAAGGGCTTATCTGAGCCACACATTTCTCTGTCCAATGGTTGGATAGAAAAGTTGTTAGACTAGTAGACGTTTAGTTCCCTCCTCAAAGAAGCAGCATCAATCATCGGTCCACATGTGATGTAGGCTGGCTGTGTGAGTACAGTTGGTTCTCTCTGATGAGGTGTAGAGTATCGGAAGTCCCATTTTTCTCACAGTGTTGTTAGTTCTTTTATTGTAAAATTGATAAAAGAAGATAAAAGACACACAATATAGATCAATTTTTTTTGTCTTGTTTCACACAAGATTTGCAATCAGCTTCTATCATTGAGACATTTTTCAATTTAATGTTTCAGCAATCACATGTAAAAAAAAAAGACTGCTCAAATGTTATTTTTACGGGTCCTGAAGCTGTGCACATTTAAGAATATTGTATCTTTCAGCAACTGAAAAACACTTAAAGGCTTTATATGCGATTTTTCACACTTAAATGTAATAGAAATGAAGTATATCCTCTGAAAATAACTCTGTGAGTCATGACTGTCTACAATGGGTGTAACACCCGAGTCCTACTGTCTGTGATGCTTTCCGAGTCCTATCTTCAGTTTGTTTACATCGCCAGGACGGCCGGCCAGCTCGCTCATCCCCTCACGTATAAAAGTTGTTTGATTGAGGGACTAGGGAAAAGAAGAATAACATACTGTACTCACTGCTTAACTGTGTTTCTAGATCACGATCATTTCAGGTAAATTTACATGCAGTGTGACGATACAGGCATAATAAAGATCGCTAGCATTAGCATGCTAACACAACAATGCAGCGCGAGTTGTTTTGGTTTCATGCTGGTGCTCAAGGGCGACATCTGCTGAATCAAAAAATTGCATATAAAGCCTGAATATAAAAAGCATAAAAATAACATTTTTATCTGCAACAAACTTCTAACATCTGTTTAAACTTTTTATATCAACAATATTATATAAATAAATTATTATTATTTTGGTTAATGCACTAAGAAAAAATGCTTCCCCAGTATAAGACAGTAGGTGCACAAGATAATGTCAACCATCTCCCTTGAGGATTTCATTATTTGAAAATACATGCATCATAGATATAATTTGTTTATTCTTAATTCGTACCAACTTAAAACAATGTCTAATTAAGTGTACACTTTATTCTAAGTTGATATTTTTGTGCTTTTATTAGCAGATAGGATGAACTGTCGTAAAAGATCATGTTGCACTTTAAATGTATTTAACCTGTTCACAAAGTGTGAACATACACATGAAAGCAGGATGTGAAACATAAAGTGCCTCCCTTCTGAAAGCATATTTCTTGGCCTAACACCGATATTGCCATATGGCCTGATGCTCGGTGGATGACACCAGTAGGATCTGAGTGTCACAGTTCATTTGTTCTGGGCCTGACAATGTCTGTGGGGGTTAGAGAGATGCAATTTTTTTCTACCTGCATACTGTACTGTGGTTGACGCTGAAGCCTTTAGCAGTTGGGCTGTTAATCTTGGAGGTTCCTTTTGTTCTCGTCATCCTTAGGCTGATCATTTAAATCATCTAGAAGAGCACATGACAATGGTCATACCACACATTTTTGATATTTTGTTTTTCAAAGTAAGACAGAGATAATAAATATGATCCAGTGTAATTAGTTGCCTACAGTCTTCACATATAAACCAGCATCATATAAAGTACATCTCACTGCATGTAAATGTGGCAATTTCCACAAATTGGATGTCATTTTATATTTAAAGAGTTTGTAGTCATGGCTCTTAATGCAATAACTGCATTGCTGACATAATAAGTCTCTGTATAATGTCAGGTCTTGTAATTTTGTGTTAAAGACGTGTGTGTGAATCAAAATGTACTTTTCACCTGTATGGACATCAGTGACAGCCGTGTCATTTCCATTTTGGATAGTTGCTGCGTCTGTGCTGTTGTTAAATTCTTGAAGCACAAAGTTTTGATCTGTAACACCAGCCCTGCAGGTAAAATCTGTGTGGCCACACAACAGTGTCACCTCTGTAAGCGGGTCTCTGCCTGAGAGAGGGGAAAAGGAAAGCTTGGGGTTAAGAGCAAAGAAATGTTTTCACACAGGCTGTTTGTCAGATACAACAATATACACTTTTAAGTGAAACCTATTGTCAGACTCCAGGATCTGAAACTGTGCAGATTTACCTTCATACTTTAATTTTTGAGCTACCTTTTGGTCCTGTTGAAGACTGCTGTCTCCTTCTCCTCCCACTGTAAGACGGCCATCGACATCTTAGTAGATGGGTGTAGGCTGACCTGAAGTCTCTGTTTAGGGCTCCATAGAGTAGTGGATTGAGTGCTGAGTTGGCATAACCCAGCCACAACACAATGGGAAATTCTGGTACTGTGCTGGGGTCTGGATGCTCTTTTAGGCCCAACACTGTGAACATGATGAAATACGGCAGCCAGCACACCACAAAAGCTCCGATCACTACTGCCAGAGTCACTGTGGCTTTATGCTCCCGCAGAGCCACAGCTGCAACACTGGAAACCAACGTGGTGCAGGTGGAGGGACTGTTCCTGCAGTTGTAAGTTAAATAAGTGGGTCTGGCACTGCCTATGCGTTTGGCCTGCGCCTGTGCAATGCGAAGTATTCGTAGGTACGTCCAGCACATGGCCACCAGAGGCAGGTAGAAGGTGAGGAGAGAGTCGGTCAGTACATAGGGTCTGTTCAGTTCAAAACGACATTTCCGCTCCTGAGCCCAGGGCCCATGGTTTTGCACAGTCCCATTAACAGTGTTCCAGCCCATCTGGATGGGCAAGAAAGACACGGCAATTGAAACCGTCCAAACAGCGGTCATCGCAACAGCAACTCTCCATGGCAACACTAGTGATGCATATCTCAGAGGCATGGTCACTGCCAGGTAGCGGTCCACACTGATTACAAGGAGGGTGAGGATGGAGGCAGTGCAGAGCATGACATCCATGGAGATGTAGAAGTTGCAGAAGACCGGGCCAAGCGGCCACTCACTGTTAAGCAGAAGGAGGGCGGAGAAAGGAAGGACCAGGAGGCCAAGTAGCAGGTCTGTGACGGCCAGTGACACGATGAAGCAGTTAGTGAGACAGCGGAGGCGTCGGGAGGCGCAGACAGCGAGGCACACCAGCACATTACCACTGACAGTCAGGAGGATTAGAAAGGACAGGAGGACACCCAGCATCACGTTTGACAACATTATTGCCAGATCTTCACCCGAGACAATGTGATAATGTCATCCCTGGAACTTCACGTGAACCATTGTTACAATTTTTTTAAAGATTAAGAATTGATGAGAGGAAGAATTACAAGCCTTAAACTCACATGAAAGTGTGTTAAACATGTTCATGTAGAGTGCATGTGCACTGAATGACATGTCTCATGTGATCCCTGTTTACCCCTGTTTTTCTTCCAATATTCTTTATGCTTTCGTTGCCAATTTCTTTGAGTGATTTCTGTTCCCTACAAACAATAGCTTTCAATGCTCTATTCCAGCTTTTTTCAGAAAGAGATGTTCTGCAAGAAGTTGGATGGATGATATTTGTCTCTTGCTTGACAAATGCTGCTAATGAGAATTGTAAATCCGCACTATGCTGGGCTGTTGAAATATCTGTGATGGCTGTTGAAAAGCTTCTTGTTTTAGTTGCTGATTCTTGGTGGTCTATGGCAACACTGTGTCCTCAATGCCATCTTCTTTGGCTCTGCTGACACCTAGTGGACACAGATGAAAAACACAGTAGCTATGTATTTCTTCAACATACTGCAAAGGAATACATGCACATAAAAGATCAGTGACTTTTTTGATATGGTTTTATCTGTTTTTTTGTTGTTATAAAACCTATTGGTTACTGGTAGTGAATTCATTATTTATTCATTTAAATTTTAAAGAAGGAAAACTATAAATGAATGGGAAAAATTAAACTGCCTACAAATACTTTCATGTGACTTTTGTCACAGATAATGACTTTTTTTTCTGTATATATTCTCCATATATGTTGATCTATGTTTGTAAATGCTCTGTGTTTTAGGTCTGTGACGTGTTGCATGTGCTGCAGCCTGTCATTCAGCACTTACTACAACAAGACCGTAAAAAAAAGAGCATGTGGTAAACTGGCTTACCTACGGTCCTGACTTGTCACCCATTGGAAAAAAAGAAGAGGCGATTTAACAGAGTGGTAAACAAGTTTTTCAAATTTAAAATTAGCATTTAATTTAGTTTTTTGACACGCACACACACACACACACACACACACACACACACACACACACACACACACACACACACACACACACACACACACACACTATTTCATAATGCAAGCTAAATTTAGTCCCGTGAGACTTACAGAGTTGTGAAACCAAAATAAATTATTTGTGTCTGATTCTAAACTAAGGTTTACGTCTAGCGTTCACGATTAATAATGGTAAATAATTCAGCACCATGGAGCACCATAGTAAATCCAGTCACAACATTATATATCATTACTACAAGGACTATGTTATATAAATGCATGTCACTGTGTAATTAAATGTATTTAAAATATAGGAACAAGGAAACATTATTTGATGTCATTCATGTTTTTCTAACGAGCAATAGTTTAAAGCAGCTAATAGAAATGTTATTCTATTCATGTTCAACCTAAATACCAGGACTGATGAGCAGGATGCTTGTGGGCACAGTCAAAGCTGAGATGTAGGACTTTATTAACAGCCAGTAGCAGTCTGTAATTACTACAGTGCTATGGCTGGTTTTGGTTTAGTTTTGATAAACATTTGATGAGAAAATGTGAAAGTGCACTCTGGAATCTGGTGTGGTCCAATTGTTAATAGAAGCTCTGTTTAATATGATCAGAATAAATTAACTGTTGAATTGAGTGCAATTAATATATTCAATCTAGAGGAGAGAAGCTGGGATTTCTGTTTAATTTGCAGAATATGTTTTTTCTTAGTACTCACTCTTTCATGGACAAGTTTTCTAATACTGTAATGGATAATAAGGCAGTTGCCAGAAATGCTCACTCATCTCCTCAGAAACAGAGAATGGGAGCAAGGGAGAAAGAGAGGTGGATACGTTGGCTTCATATGAAATGAGGAGAAAGAAAATTAGATAATGAAAAGAGAGGTTTTAATGAAATCTGGCTAAAGCAACCAGAACATCTAATCTTTCAACTCTTCTAATCTTTGCTTCTTTGTTCTGTTCACACATCTTTTTTTTTTTCTTTTTTCTAGAGCCACTCTGCTTTGAACGTCATCCAGAGCAAACACTGATAACACAGCCTCTAATGGAGAGAAGAAGTGCAGCTCTGCAAATATGCAAATATCACCTCAGTCTTCACAGCTGATCTGACAGAGGCTGAGACTGAGACGATGAGAGACCTGATATTTCAGCAGTTTTCATCATCAAACGGAGTCTCTCACACTGTCTGTCACTTCTTTGCTTTGTCTTTCTATCTCTCACACTTGTCTGTCACTACCTTGCACTCTGACACCTGCTCAGATGAACAGTTAGAATGACTCCTGGCTTGGCTCCATCACAGGTCCTGTGATACAAACAAGATACCATTCTGCCCACTCACTTACCAAAAACCACAAGTACAAGACTGATTTAGTACAAGTATAATGGATGTGACCTAAATCCATTTAGACTCTATCAGTGTTTATTACTGACAGTCTGTGCTGTCATTCACCTTAATGTTCAGATTGTCCTCTATAGCGGTGGTTCCCAACTGGTCTAGCCTCAGGACCCACCACCAGGGCCTTCATGAAAAGTCGTGACCTGAATTTCATATATTTTCACCAAAATAGATTTGTTCAATGTGAAATAGTGCAGTTTTGACATCAGACAGTAGAGAATGTAACAGAGCAAAGAAACAAAACAAACATGTTGGGAAAGCGCTTCATAGACTTTTTTTGACACAATATTTTTTCCAGGCACACATTAACGACCCACTGAAGTGGGTCGCAGGGCTCTATGGAAAAAAAACACTTATTTAGACAAATCACTCCATTATAGCTACCATGATAACTAACTACCATCTGTTATTCCTCTCAAACTTCTCATCAGTTGTCCTTGACAGATAACAATAGGGAGTGTTTTTACATCTGTACATATAATCCCAAAACCTCGCAAACACATTCACCATCAGGGCCTGCTTCTACGCTCTGACACGTAACCCAAACATAAGTCTTACTAATGGTTTTTTTAGGACTGTAATGGATTGTAAGACAGCTGAGTGCTGTGTTTTCCACACTGAATGTGACGGCTGCTCTGCTTTGGAGGTTTTCCTCAGGACAATACTGTTTCATGTTTTCAAGAGACAACAAAAAAGAAGCACAGGGTTTGTGTCTTTGAGGAGAGTGCTGGAAGAGTTCATTTCCATACAAGGCTATCTGAGGTGACACCCAAGAGTTGGGAGACACGACAAAGTGATAAACATTTAGGAGCTACCTGAGGGCTTCATATCCTTGTCTCCTACAGTATCTGCCAACATAAGAAAGATGCAAACAAGCTGGAAAGGGTTCATTCTGCCATTTCATATAGACCTTCTATTACTCATCAGCATCAGGGTGAAAAGAGTGCAATTCGGGTATTGGGATGAAAGGCAGGCATAAAAGAAGTTGGAGTAGTAGCTCTTGAGCAGACACAGTCTGAGCTCAAAGATGGGTAATGAGGTTATTTCCCTCTCAGCTAGGACTCACTGCCTCATTTGTGAGATTCTTCAAAATCGAAAGTGTTCATTTTGTGACCTTTTTTTACCAACCAGATGTGTCTTTTTAGAACTCAGTGCATTTGAAATATATTCTTCTTCAACCAAATCAGAGCCATGTGTATTATCACAAATGCAACCTATTAATATGTTGGCACAGCGGAAGGAAAATAGGTTTGCAGTATTGAGATAAACTTCAGATGCCTGCAGGGTGTGAAATTAACCTTTGAAGACATGAAAGCAAAGGAAAAGATCAATTATCTGTATTGATCTGCCAATCTCTGTGTCTGTCTTTGTATGTGTTCCTGTCAGTATTCATGCTGTTTTTTGTTTTATAACATTTAAGGGAAAGGGTGGTGTTCAGAAGTATAGCTTCAAAGAATCATCCAGAGTTCAGGAAGCCCTGGACGATGATCTGGCTGCTTCATACAAGTCTTACAGTGATGTCATTTCAAAGTATCGCTAGATCAACTGCAGCATGTTCAAGAGGTTAGTAAATAAAAAACATAACAATGAAACTTGCAGTAGCTCTTTTCCCACTGCAATCTAAACTACTATAGAAGTTTGAGATGACTGACCATAGATTTAAAATACACAAAAGAAAAGTAAGGGATTTGAACTACAAGGCCAAAAACAAAAATACAATTTTGGGGACTTTTACACTGAAAATGCGTAATGTTTAACTTTTGTCTCTGCATGCAGCATCAATAAAAGCATCATAATGCTGTCAGTCAGCTTTCTTTTGCACATAAATCTCTCGCTGTCTGCATATTTGTGAACGTGACAATATGCTCGTCTTTGTTTTTGTCCTTGACAGTGGCACTGGTATGAAAGGGAAGTGGTCTTGGATACTGGGTTGCTTGGTAACAGTTGTGTGCCCTGACTGTTGGAGAGAAGCTGAGGAATCTTTGCTGCTGTGTGAAAAAGAATTAAGTGACAGACACGACAGCAGACAGGTACACCGACCGGGGGGGCTTTTGACACATAAAAAATGCAGAGATACTCTCAGCATGCATTGTTGTGGCCATATTCAGTTCACATCACGATCAGGGTAAATGGGGATAATGACTTGCCCACTATGTCTTAGTCTTGACCTTATAACACATCTGTTGTGTCAACATTGATGAACATATGTACAGTGCTTAAATACTTGTGACAGTAGATTCACATTGTGTGTTCAGAGGAAAGCACACACACTCACACAGGTCCAGAGTCAACACATTGGCTGTCATTTATTAGAGTTACACTTCATTGTAGCTACTTAAAAAGGAAACTTTAGTGTCTGGCCTGCCCTTTGCAGCATACTGTTCCCTCAACAAGTCATGACACTAAACCACATCCTCTCTCTGGCTGCAGCAGCAAACAGGCCCTGCAGCAGCTTCTCAAAAACTGTTTTATTCTTAGAAGATTATTATTTTTCTTTTTAGAAAAACCAATGTCTGAAAGTGCTTTGCTTTTTTTTAAAGTTGCTCCAAGAAGACGTTCAATCAATCAATCAATGTTCAGATCAATCTATCTGTATTGTTATACATTTTTTTTATTTGTTGTGTTTATGTCTGTCTAAGAGATGTGTAAACTTAATGTATTGGTTTGAGTAAATGGAAGTGAAAGTTAAGGTAGAGTTCAAATGTGGAACAAAGAATGACACAAATACAACAAGATAAAGAACAGACAATAGCTTTATGGTCTACATCCCCTCACTCACACACACACACACACACACTCTTATGCAGTATAACGTTACTTCCTCATTTGCACAACTAGTGAAAAAAAACCTTTTTATATTTTAGTACTTGTACGTAGTTTACTAACCAGGCACAGGATTGACTCACTTGAACACATACTCTCTCAATGTATGATTTAAACTTAAGTTAAAACACAATTCTTAAATGTGACACATCTTTTGTGTGTCTTTCACAAATATGCTTAAAAATTGTAACTGTAAAAGCTGATGCACACCATTATCTGACATCAATGAAAAACACGAGATAATTAAATAACATTTGTTACTTGTGCTGTTAATTAATAAAGAATTGATCAAGTTTCTGTAATATTCCTGTTTGCTGCTGACATACACTGCAGCTAACTTAATGCAGACTCAAGGCAAATATTTACTCTCCTTTACTTTAGCTATCACACCGATAACAACCCAATAGGTTAAGTTTCACAGCCAGATCCTTTAAGTTTGATCACAAATCAAGAATAATTTATAAAACAATAATTAATAAACTCACCGCAGTGCCGCTTCTTCTTTCTCACGGCAAACGTCCTGCTCCTCTGCTCTGTTCCCTGAGAGAACCACAGTCTCATAAAGAGTGTGTGTGTGATAAGTGTGTATATACTGTAGATATGGGAAAGAGGGGAGAGGGAGAAAACGAGTCATCATCTCTCTCTCTCTCTCTCTTTCTCTCTCTCTCTTTCTCTTTCTCTCTCTCTCCCTCCCTCTCTTTCTCCCTCTCTATGTCTATTATCTTTCTTTGTTTTACTCTGTGTGTTTTCTTCTCTATCTCTTTAGGGAATATTTCTTTTGTAGATATTTGAATACCTCTTCCATTCTCTAATCATGTTTTGTCATTTGTGTTTACCAGCTGCTCTAATAATGCTGGTCTAACCATCTCTTGTCTTTGGAGAATTGGTCCGATTATCTTAATTATGCAACCAACCTTTTCCATTCAACCCCAAAGAAGTCACAGGAAATAAGTCTACTTTGTAGGAGTGAGAGACACAATTAAGATTCATAAATATGCATGACTAATTGCATTCTAGGTTCTATTTTCTTCTCATGTCATATATTGCAAGAAAATACCACTGCCCTCTCAACTGTAAACAGTTTAATAATTGAGGGCTTCTTTGGAGCTTTTCATGGAAGGATGGCTGTTGGGTAAATCTCTGAGAACTGGCGCTGTTCATTGGACTGGAGAGATGTCAATGACCCGATAGGTCACCAGGATTTCTAAATCAATCTCTATTTCTGCTGCAGCCTTTTTCTCAGCCATTGAAGCTATTTTTATTTGATGTGCCTTTGTGTGGTTTCTCTTCTCTAATGAATGTGTTAGTACGAATTCATAAAAATGTGTTCATTTTACTTTGTCAATGTACCATTTAAATCTGTAGACCATCTAAAAGCAGCTATTCTAGGTTTGAGTAGCTGTAACCATATCTTTGTAAAACGTCTCATGGCAGCAGAGTTATTTTTGGATTGGAGCCAACTGTCTGTTGTAAGCAAAGGTTTGCTAAGACTGAAATATATATGTCTGACATTTACAAGTCAAGCTGTCTTCTTTCCAGCCTTATAGAGATATATCCAAGTGGACAATAATTTGTAGGATGTACCTTCTAGCAGAATATAAGCAAGTCTGTTAACATAGAATCTTTGTCAGTACTTTGTCAGTCCGTGATTGTTAACAATTTGTGTTCTGTTACTATTGTCTGACCTCTGCCGATTAAATGGTAAAATAATCCACACACTGACAGGCAAAACTTTTCCTCTCTGCCAGTATTCCTGATCCTTCAGTAAAGCAGGACATCATCCCCCTTTCCCACTCCATTTCATAACGTGACCAAGGGTTCAGACTTGAGAGCTCTATTCTAACATGCAAACATTTATACAACTTTAAAGGGCTCTTACCCTGTGGTGTGTTGCATATGCGCTCTACTGTGTACCATTTGTGTGCAAAACAGAGACGGCCCATTTTTGCATAATGAATAGGCGGATGTGGCAAGCAATAGTGGTCACATGGTTTGAAGGACTGTATCTTCACAAATATGTTGTTGTGGTTTCATTAAAATGCTTACAATATTGATGTTTGGGATGCATACGTTTAAAAGCTAGAAATCTTTTAATTCATAAGAAAATATGTTTTGTCAAAAAGTTATTGCAGTGTTTACACATAATTAATTCTACTTTCCTCGTACTAACAATTGGTGGCCCCAGTAGTGTTTTGTCACCGGCAGACGATGTGATACTAAACTAAGCACACACAAATTAAAGAATTGTTTATCAATTTCAATTTCTGAAGAGAATTTCTCTTCAGGTATCAGACCTTTAACAGAAATACACCAACAAAGTACTTGGCTTAATGAGAATATTTATTACGAGTGATGAAATCACAAGTGAATAAATGAACATTAATAAAGAATACAGGCAACCTAAGTTTAAAAATGATTATGAATGGAGATATTGTAAGAATGAGATGAGAGGCCTTCATCTGTAAAATTAACTGATTTAATGCTAAGAAATGTATTTCTTTTGTTTAACTAGTAAATATTATATTTGGATATATTTTGAATTTAAGAGTTATAATCAACCCTTTATCACAGCCATAGTTTGTATTGTCTTACTGGCAAAATGTTGTCCAATGGTTGTACTCAGGAACATTCTCCTCTGGTGGCAGCCTGCTGTTCAGTTAGCTTGTTGGGTCGAGCTGTGCGAATCCTGGCAGCGGTCTGTGGGTGTCCCCGCGTATTTACCGTGATGAACAAGCAGAAAGTCCGACGTCAGATCTTCTTAGCAGTTGGCAGAGCAAGGGTTGTGCTCGCTTCTTAAGAATGACTTTGAGAGGTGTCAAGTAACGAAGTACAAATACTTGTACCGTTGCCCTCACAGATTCCTGCAGCTAAGCTTGGATGTACATTTACATTCCAATAAAAGCTATTGATAACATGCCTCTGAAGTTTGACTTTTTGCACCATTACAATACTTACAGGCAACTAGTCATGAAACACATGTTAATGCTCAGTAGTATACATATATGGTTCTTTAATGTATTTGCATTGTACTAAAATGCGTTCATTTTCAATGGGCATAAATGCGGAAGAGATGTTCTTGGTACAACGTGGTCGAGAGGCATATTATTCAATGGCAATTAGATGTTATTGCATACTGTGATGGAAAAACAGTTTCATAGTAACCCTATAACAGCTAAAACACAAGGAAACATATTGCAGGATATGCAGGATTAGTTTAGGACTGTTCTGATGGTAATGATCATTACAACTGTCTGGAGTAAAGGATTCATCTGGGTTTAGAAATTAATTGTTTGGATGCTTAATGTAACTCCAGGATACATAACATGTGAAATGTTCTCTTTTTTTACAGTTTGACTTAAAAGTACAATGGTTAAATAAAGTCAAGAGATGGATTAGTAATATTATAAAATATATGTTGTTGTATTAAGGTTGTTTCCATGTTCCCAGAATTGGAGGTTGAGTTTACCATTGCAACATCACCTAAAGGAGGTAAACGATGATAAATAAAGTCCAACGTATTTTCATGGAATCAATATATGTATATGTAATCAATAGCTGGGTCCAGATGCTGTTGTAGCAGCTGGTGTTTTTGTTCTTAATGTTGTACTTGTAACTGATGGCAGTCTCCTGCATGGAGGACCATAGTGTCATAGTGTCTTCAACTAAATGAGTGTAAGGGATAGACAAAGCTTTTTCAAGATTCACATTGAGTTGAAGTTGAGTATGTGTTGTTTTTCTGATGACCCACTCGCAGAGGTAAGAGAAAGGAAACATTTATTTGCATGTGGATTTTCTAAAAGGGAACTTTTCAAGGTAAGGTTTGCATTGCAGAGAAGTGTAAAAGAATACGTTCTGACTGGGTTTCTATGCACGCTTTTCACATCATCCTCTTTTAACCCTCAAACTATGATACAGAAAGTGAAATCCACTGAGTCCAAAAGAGCAAAGTTGAACATCACACACTGTGCAGGCCTGTGGCCTCAATAGGACTCCACCTTGTTGTACTCACCCACTTCCCCTTAACGGCCTGAAGACAGGAAGAGAGGAGAGACAGAAGAGGAAGAGAGTCAAGGGGGAGGGGCTTATTGCTTTCATTTTACTTTAAAAAAAAAAAATACAGAAGTGAGAATTTAACAGACAGCTCTAAAAAGGAGTGAAGGCCAGAGAGAAACAGGAGAGAATCAAACAGGCAAAACTCAGAATTGAAATAAGGTTAAGGACTACATGCAATCATGGCTCCTTGGACGAGGACCACTTCGGAGCGGTATGGTGTAGGTAAGTCGAGGTTAATCCTAACCAACCCTAACCCTTGTGTGAGCCTTTTTGTGTGTGAGGCTTACTATCATATGGCTTCAGTGTTTCTTTGTTAAAATATGGTAGTAAACTTTCCAAATTATGAGAAAAATTAGATGCCCATCATTTCCTGCTTAACAGGATGTAAGAAGGTGCCTGATACAAATTGAGTATTTGCACATCGGATGTAAAACATTAAAATAACTTTAATCCTAAAATCACTTGAACCATCACATTTTAGTGCAACATAACTCATAAATGGAACAGTTGAATGCATGCTTAACAAAATAACATCCATCCACAGGTGATGCAGAGGTGATTGACAGGTATTAGGCAATTTGAATGCATTGCAAATTATCCATTTTATAAGAAAATACATAAATCCTGAAAATGTCAGAGTTAGGTTTGGAAGGATTGGTTTTGGGAAAAGGAAGCAATCTAGACTGAGATAGAAAGTTTTTCCTGTCAAATCCAGTTTATCGGTGTGTGGTTTTAACATGGCGGGGCTGATTAACGTGTTAAGATATACCATACTCCTCAGCACGAAAACAGTTTTCTGACTTGTTAAAAGAATTGAAAATTTTATAATGAACCTTGATTTATAAGTTGCAGCAAGGAAGGCATATTGTTTGTGTTGTAGAAAGTGAGGGACACAGTTTTAAGTGTTTCATATCAATATTTCTAGTGGTAATTGTTTAGGATGAGTAATTAATGAATGACTGAATAATAAATAACTATTTGAGTGAAAAACTAGTAAAACACACTGCAGTGTTGTTAATCTACTGTATCTGGGCTGATATCCTCCTTGTCTGTGTATGACTACAACACAGGAAGTAGAGGAAGACGGAAGGTAGTGTTTGAGTTTGAAGCTGTGCAGTCAAAACGTGTAACTGTAAGAGCAGTAACCACAAAGTGTCATCAGTTATACACACACATGCCTGTTTTATTTTTAATGCGTTATTTAAATTCACATTTTGGTCTAATTGTGTGGTGCTACAGAATATTAAATAGGTCATTTTAAAGCTGTGTAAATGTTTATTTTGTGCCCAAAACATTAAGTTGGCCACAGATTTCTTTCTTGAAACACAAAAAGAGAAAAAAAGCGAGCCAACTGGAGCAGAGAAACACAACCTGTTTCACTGAAAAACTGTCTTAGTAGACTGATTAACAAAGCACCCTTTTCAGCGAGGCTGTTTTCTACTGCCTACTCTTTTGCTCTGCCAAGTGAAAAAGGAGTGGAAATACTCTGATTTGCAGCCTCTAACTGGCAAACAGGCTGTTTTTGATGATAGTTATACTTATACTGTTACGTACCTTGATCAGCTGCATGTACT